ACATGTACACCGGCGCTGTAGTGTACGTAAGCACCGCAGTGTACACAGGCGCTGCGTTGCACACGGTTGTTGCGATGTACGCAGGCGCTGTGGTGTACACGCGCGCCGTGGTGCACGCGAGCGTTGTGGTGTACACAGGTGCAGGGGGGCAGATCGCCACCTACATCGTCGTCGTCGTCGTCGTCGTCGTAGCTTGTCGCTCGTCGCGTCGTGCGCGCGGGCGCGGCTGTGGTGCCGGAGCCACACGGCGGGGGGGGGGCGTTACGTCATACCCCCCCCTACCCCCCCCCACCCCCCATGACGCCCGTCATCGCTGAACATAAAGAAACGCTCTCCTGGTGCATCCCTGCGGCCGCGCTGGTCCGCGCATGCTCGCGCGCGCAACGGCCAGCTAGTTTGGCGCGACCGACGCGGCCGCGGTGGCGCTGACCGTTGGGCGCATCCCAGTGGGCACCTCGCTGCGAGTCGGGAGCTTGGGCGGGCGCGGTATCATGGCAACGTCAACAACGGTAGACGCGATGATGGTAGTACCGGTGTTGGTGACGCCGATGACAGCAGCGACGGCGCGGCCAGTGATGGCGCCGATGTTGATCACGCCGGCGACGACGTTGGCGTCTTCGCGTCGGCGATGCAGGTTTTGGAAGGAGTTCGACGTGCGCGCGCGGCCGACGCGCGAGAATGGCCCGCATGGTATTATTCGACGCGGGTCGTTCCCCCCCAGCGCGCGCGCCAGGGCGCGCGAGTGATTCCGTCATGCGGCGCGAGTGGCTCGTGTGGCAGAAGTCAATGAACATGTTCAACAGCTTATGGTTGCCCAGGGGGTTCGCAAGAGCGCGAGCGCTTTTTTTTGTTGAAAACTGATGTTGCAAAACCATGTGTTTTCTTTGTTGTTTGGGCGGTCGATTTTGAAAGCCTTGCGAAACCGAGCGTTCTTGAAGGATTTTGGCATGCGCGCGCGACGACGCGCGCGCATGCACTTCGTCATGTTGTGGCAGTTGCAAAATATTCTCGCGACAGCACGCGCGCAAAGGGCGTTCGGACGATTTCGACATGCGCGCGTGCGAAGCCCGCTTGGTAATATGTTATGACAATGTATGGAATCCGAGTTGTTTTCCCACGAACCCGTAGGAACGCGCGCGCAACCTTTTTGTGACATTCGGTGTCGCGAGCTATATATATATATATATGTATGTATATATGTGTTTTTTTTGGACACTCGATTTTGACCTCATTTACGAAACGATCGTTTTTGTTATATGTTTATAATATATATATATATATATTATATATATATATATATATATATAATATATACAAGGATTTCGGCATGCTCGCGCGACGACGCGCGCGTGTGCATTTCGATTCGCTTTTCGTGAGGGGTGTCTCAATATTTTTCATGTTTGATAAACGAGCGCGCGCGCATAGTAATTTTTGGCAGAGGATGGCGGGGGGGGTCGTTACTGGCCTGGCTGGGATGGTATGGGTTCATATTTCGGATGGACGATGGGGCAGAATCACATGTAAGATGGAACGCGGAAAACGGGGCCGATAATTTGGGATTTTTTGAAAAAAAGAGAGAGAGAGAGAGAGAGAGAGAGAGAGAGAGAGAGAGAGAGAGAGAGAGAGAGAGAGAGAGAGAGAGAGAGAGAGAGAGAGAGAGAGAAGGAGAGAGAGAAAGAGAGAAAAAGGAAGGATCATCGAGGGTGGCGAAGAGGCGGCGACGGGCGGCGATGAAATGCCGACGAGGCGGCGACGGGGTGGTGACGGCGGCCACACAGCCGCCAAACCGAAGACACGGCCCATACGTTCGGCGGCGACAAGGCGTCGACGGGGCGGCGACGGCGGCCACATCGCCGCCACATCGAAAACACGTTCCAAACCCCTGGGGCCTCCACTTTTCCAAAACTCCCCCGCCCTCCCCGCGCCAGACTTTAGTCCCTGGGGCCGGCGTTTTTTTTTTTTTTTTGTTTTTGTTTTGTTGTTTTTGTGTGTGTGTGTATGTGTGTGTGTGTTTTTTTTTCCAGGGCTCCAGAATTCCAGAAGGTTTTCCAGGCCCACGCACCCGCTGTGTCGAGACGTTGGGCTTTGTTGCGCAAGAATCCAGCGCGCCCGAAACGCGCGTGGTTCTAATTTGTTTATAACCATACATATATCCACAAACATACACACTGGAATGATACAACACAACAGGTTTTGTATATCACCCACAGAGACCACCTAATCGTTCAGATGTTAGGTATATTCCCCAGACAATGCTCCTGCTCGTCAGGAGCTTTCGGCATATCCCCCAGGCGATCTATACGCAAACCCTCTGACGAGCAGCAGGATTGTCCAGGTGGGTTATACTTGAGTGAGGCGAGCACATGTTGTGACGATTCCATCATTGCGATCAGTGTTCCTCGAGCAATGTTTGCATTTATGCTTCTCCTTGTATGTTTCTGAGGAGCGGGCCCTGATCGTCGCAGTCGGCTGAAGGCTCGCTGGTGCCCTTGTGGTTGGTGCCCACTGGCTGGTCCACCATGTCTTGCGCTGGTATCAGTTGCGTTGGTGCCCCATGATAGGTGCCCTATGATGCCCTGTTTGTCGCGGTCGACCGTTCCCGCTGGTACCCAATGGGTTGGTGCCTTATGATGCCCTGTTGGTCGTGGTTTGCCGTTCGAGCGCTTGGTGCCCTGTGGACGGTGCCCTATGGTTGGTACCCCATGCAGGTGCCGCGTGGCTTGTACCTGTGAGCAGCTGGCATGGTAATCCCGTACTACCTGGGGTCCGCGCGCAGGCACCAGTTGTTCATATGACAAAAGATAGTCGCGTAAACACATCCGTTGTTGTTCGGTGCCGCTTCAGCGCTGCAGTTAAGATGTCAGTGGGTCGATGGTGGCGGGCTGGGGTAATGCATTTGGCTTGTGTGTTTGCATTTCGCCCTTGCGTAGCTTGCTCAAGGGACCTCTGGGGGCCCTGATGGGACGAACTTGGAGCCTTTCTGGAATCTTGTCCTGGATTCATCGGTGTGACTATCCCGAGGACCATCTTGGGGCCAGCGGGTCTTCACAAGCGCACGCCACCACCTGCGTTGGTTGACGAACCGCACCGTTTGCTCACCAGGGGGATTCCGTCCATGCACCCAGTGTGTTGTGACGCTGCTTCGTCCTCCCCTGGAGCCTAAGCGCGCACGAAGCACGCGCGTGGTGCTAGCTTACCTATTCAGGCTTACGCCACACCTGTCAGCCCGTTGCTATGCCCGTCTTGGCATTGTTGTTCGACATACAGTAGTTAGAACAGCGTGGTCTCAGTGTAGGAGACACTTTGTATGGCATCGAGCTTGTCTCGAAGTTCGGACCGTGACGATGAGGGTTGTGGTTTGTGCCCGTGGCAACGTGATGGTAGGGAGCGTGAAACTTCGAATGGAGTCCTTGCGTGTGATTGCGCGATGGTTATGACGAGGACAAGGAGGAGGAGGAGGAGGAGGAGGAGGAGGAGGAGGAGGAGGAGGAGGAGGAGGAGGAGGAGGAGGAGGAGGAGGAGGAGGAGGAGGAGGAGGAGGAGGGGGAGACTTCGTGGCTGTCTCGGGCATCTCTTCGGACCCTCGTGGGCCATCACCGGAGCCTTCTATGGGTCTCTTCTGTTGTTTGGGGCGCAGCTAGGGCCGTCTTGAGCCATCTAGGGACCTCGTGAGCCAAGTCTGTGCGTCTTGTGGCTGTGGGCCCTCTTGTGTTGTTTCGTCGCCATCGAGGGCCGTCTTGGGCCCTCTTTGGCCGTCTTCGACTGCTCTAGATACTCCTTTGAGCCGTCTGGGGAGCCTACTCGGGCGATCTTCCGCGGGTTGGGTGCGTTCCCAGTCATCCTGTGGTGTCGGGTCTTTGTTTTGAAGAGACAGCGCCCCGCGCCTCACTCCTCCCGCTGCCCCCTCCCCCTCCTGCCGCTGCTCTCCGCATGCAAACGTCGGCACACTCCTCACACCTTTACACGTCTCGTGGCGCTGCACTGACGGCCCCAATGGCAGCGCCCGCATGGAGGCTCAACCCTGTTTCGGCACACCCCTCACACGCTCTGTGGCCCCCATTGGGAAATCCATCTCAGGCCCTGGTGGCAGCGCCCGCATGGCGGCCCCGCCCTTTGTCGGCACGCCCCTCGCACGTTTCGTGGTGCCATGGGGAGTTCTGCCGAAGGCCCCAATGTTAGCAGCCAAATGGCGTCCCCGCCCCATCTTGGCACGCCACTCGCGCGCTTCGTGGCCCCATAGGGAGCTCCCCCGAAGGCCCCAGTGGCAGCGCCAGCTTGGCGGCTCCACCCCACCTTGGCACACCCCTCACACGTTCCGTGGCACCACATGGGGGCTCCACCTAAGGCCCCGATGGCAGCGCCCGCATGGCGGTCCCGCCCGATCTTGGCACACTCCTCATACGTTTCGTGGCCCCATAAGATGCTCTCCCTCCTTCGTTCCGCTTGCCCGGGGCCTCGCGATACTCATGCCTGCATATGGTGGGGTCCTTCGCCAGTTTACTTTTTGGGACGCTTTTGGAGGCCTCAGACGCCATCTCGAAGCCATGTTGTACCGAGAAGCCGAAACGGCAAGCCAGGTTGAAACAAACCATGGGTTTGGGGCAACTGTGGCTGGCCAGGGCCTCTCGTGGAGCGTCTTGGGGCGTCGCTCAGGGCCTGCGGGCCTTGGCGGGGAGCCGCGGGGCCTCTGGGAATCGTGTCGAGGCTTCTCAGCCCATCGTCTGGCCCCCCCTGGGAAGCTTTTCGCGCCCTGAAACGCCGTGTGGGATTTTTTAAAGGCTCGAAGAGCGTCCAGGGGTCCCCCCAAAGGCACCCAGGTGAGTCCATACCCCCCTCCATAGGACTTTGTAGGTCCGGCGGGGGGGACGGGGATAAGAGGCTCTCACGCTTGGTGGCTCCAAGTGAGTCGACGGACTTGCATTTCGCAGTGTAAAGCGTGCGGCATTGACATGCAGCTCCGTCTTGTTTCCTGGTGGAAGCTGGATGCTTCGGCTTGACAGGAGAAGCTCGCGAACCTGGTCATGTTTGATCAGGCGACATATGACAAGATGCTAAAGGAGATTCCGAAGGCAGCCCGCAGTTTAACGACGATCGTGGGAATGACCCTGGCCACAAGGACGAGACGGTGTCGCGGGATGACAGCGTTGGGTGATGATGGAGTTGAGGGTTGAGTGGAAGAGCGAAGGGTTGAAATGATGCTAGAAAGGGGGAATGGAGGAGGCATGGGGGAAAGAGTTGGTTACCTGGAGAGGGTGAAGGCGAGCCGGGATAACGACGGAAGCGCAGTAGAAGTGCATTTCGTAGTTTGGATGCGTTTTTGACGCGTGCATCCGTTGTTTTCTTTCCAGATTCGACTGCACACCTTGGGCCTGGCCTCGCGTGCCCGACCGCAGCCGCAGCATCGCACATGTGTCGACATGTGGTTTGTCTGGGCCTTACGGGGATCACCAAGACGACACAGGAGGGTGCCCGGAGGCCGCCAGAAGCCCTCCTCTATTGCCCAAGAGGCCTCGGAGACTAACCAGTAGGCTCGGAGAGGACTCGAGATGCCCGCGCTGTGCTCCCAGAGAGGCTGCAAGAATTAAGTCGGGCATGTCCCTCTACAGGAGGAAGTTTCAAGACTAGTAAGACAGTAGTCTGGTGATGATTTTCCGTCTGGTGATTATTGTTGGACTTGTGCTTTTTCTTCAAAGCCCGCTTGTAAAAGGGCATGCCCGACCTAATGCAAGAGTCTCCGAGAAACCTCTCGTGGCCCGACAGGGAAGCCCTGAGATCTTTCAGGTCATACAACCAGTCGCGCGTCATTCTTGAGAGAGCAGCTCTATGGCACTCTCATGTTACAAGTTGTTGCGTGCGATCACATTTTGCGGTCTGGCTGCGAGCTTTTTTCGTCCATAACCGCGCGCGTGTAAAGACGTTGGCTCAAATCCCAATTATGATGCTCTAGGGACTCGTTCAACTAATTGGTTTGGGACCCCGTGGGGGGTCATCTTGGGCCATTTCAAAACCATTCCTCCTCCTCCTCCTCCTCCTCCTCCTCCCAAGGTTTTGGCAAAAACGCCGCTCTCTTTGCCTCTCCGTTCCACTCCTCCGTTCTCTAGCTCCTCATTGCTCCTCCTCCCCCTCTTCCTCATCCTTCCCTTCATCATCCCTCAAGCCCTTGTTTCCTCCTCATCCTTCCCTTGTTCCCTCCTCAAGCCCTTGTTCTCTCCTCATCCTTCCCTTCCTCTCCCTGGTCTGATTGGACCCGACGGCAGCACTCATTCATTCTTCCCCGTCACCTCTATGCGCACTGGCATTCGCGCAGATGTGTGCACGACCTTGCTAAGTGGCAGGGAAAACAGCAGTATTTGGTGGCTGCTTTTATACAGTTGCGGTCCAGCCAACTGGCTGGATCTTGGAACGATTCCCTCCTCTCACCTCCGACCTCCTCATACCTGCCTCCCCCGCATTTCGGCAGCTGGGTGCTAGATTTCTGCTGCGAGGTCGACGTGTCGAAAGGTCGGGCCGAGTTTGCGAGCTGCTGTGCGCCTGGGAAACAGCGTGGGTAACTGTTTGACACCCGTACGTCAAGCAGGCAGGTCACGTGGCATGTGACGTCCAGCACTCTGGGACCTTCAATGAGTCATAGTGTCCTCGGTCTTGTGGCCGTACATCTGGTTGGCAGGTTGAGCTGCTTGGTCAGCAGCGCCGTGCCGTCCCGATGTTCTGTGTGGACGTCGCGCATTCGAGCGTCTGCGGTTGCCATGCCCCCAGAAGCATCTCCCACTTGAGGGTAAGTCGGGCCTGTCCCTCTACAGGGGGAATATTCTAAGATAGTGAAAAATTGTCAGGGGACGTGTTTGTTTGACTACGTTTGACCATTTTGGAGTATTGGTTGGGTATTTTTAGTTGTTCCTCAAAAACCCCCTTGTAGGAGGACAGGCCCGACCTAAACCGAAGGCCTTTCCTGCTCGCTGCCGCTCACAGCCCGCCGCACGCGGGAGGCAAAGCTGATCACCACGGCTATCGTCAGCGAGAGGCTGAAGGTCAACGGGTCGGTCGCTCGCCAGGCCACCTCGGAATCACTGTTGATGGGCTTGGTTTCCACCACCACCACCATCAGTAGGAGGGGGAGGGGGTCCTCCTCCTCCTCCTCCTCCTCCTCCTCCTCCTCCTCCTCCTCCTCCTCCTCCCCCTCCGCCTCTTTCCCCCCTCCAACTTATGGTGGTGGTGGTGGTGGAACATGCCTTTTCGGCATCATTGCAGCCCGCATGCGAGGAAGACAGTGGGACGTGACAAGGACGAGGGATGCTGACGACGGCGGTGATGACGAGGTCGATGATGATGTTGATGATGCAGAGGATGACTACGATGACGATGGCGATGGCGATGGCGACGACGACGAGGACGACGCCGAGGACGATGATGATGATTATGATGATGCTGCTGCTGATGATGATGTTGCTGATGCTGATGATACTGATGCTGCTGCTGATGATTATAATAATGATGATGACGCTACTGCTGATGCAGATGATGGTGGTTATGCTGATGAGGCTGATGCTGTTGTTGACGACGATGATGATGCTGATGATTATGAGGCTGATCATGATGATGATGATGATGATGATGATGATGCTGATGATTATGATGATGATCCTGATGATGATGGTGGCGGTGGTGGTGGTGATGATGGCGATTATCATTATAATGGTGATGGTGATGGTGATGGTGATGGTGAGGATGAGGATGTTTATGCTGATGATGTTGGATGCTGATGCTGATGCTGATGCTGAGGATGATGCTGATGCTGATGATGATGCTGCTAATGATGATGATGATGATGATGATGATGATGATGATGATGATGATGATGATGATGATGATGATGATGATGAGGAGGAGGAGGAGGAGGATGATGATGAGGGGGAAGAGTAGTAGGAGGAGGAGGATCAGGGTAAACCCAATACCAATCAACGATGTTGCAATACCCTCCCCAACCAAGTTCCCGTCTCACATGTCCCTGCCATGAGTCTTTTTCCTTGAGGGAAGTGCCCCGTTGGAAGACAGCCATCTGACAATCCCGAGCCGTACTGGATCACCATACCTGGGCCTTCAAACGCCGCGAATCAACGCTACTGCTGCGTCTTGACGATCCCGAGTCGTGGTCGAGTGCTATTCCCCGGGCTTCCACGCCGCGAGTCAACATACCCGGTGCGCCCTGGCAGTCCTACCTCGTGCCTGGGCAGTATTTTCTGGGACAATCGTAAGACGCCTTGAAACGGGTGCAAGCTTTGGATCCCGAATCTGCGCGGCACGAATGCGAGAGCCACATTTTGAAAACGAGCCCGCCCTCCACTCGTGAACCTCGTTGCAAACTTCTAAGGCGAGTGTGCGCGGCGCTGGGGGGAGAGCCACATTTTGAAGACGACTCGCTCTCTGTCCGTGAAGCTCTTGCAAACTTTGAAAACGCATGTGCGCTTCGCTAGGGCAAGAGCCACCTTTTGAAGACGACCCTCCCCCCACCTATGTTTAAGACGAGTGTGTGCTGTTCTAAGGCGAGAGCCACAGTTTGACAACGATCCCGCCCTCCATCCGTGAAACTGATGCAAAAGTCAGCTCAATGATTATACATAGTGAGGAAGCCTCTGGCGACACGCCCGGCCCGCCCTACCGACACGTCGCGGGGTGCGACAGGGAGGAATTGTTTATAATCGGGGGTGGATAAACCTCCCACACTGACGCGTCGATTCGTGCCTTGTCCGTTTTCGGTTCTCGAGAGTGCGCTGCGGCCGTCATTTTCCAGGCTTGCGCCCGCCAGGTTTGGGCCCGAGATCGTTTTTACTAAACCACGTTTTATTAAGGGGGGTTCTGTCTATCCCTGGTATAAGGGCAGGAATGGAGGATGGGAGAACGATGAGGTTCAGAGGGACCTTATTGAGACAATCGCAGTGTCAGATTTTGAGGGGGCTGGAGCAAGGATTAAGTCGGGCATGTCCCTCTACAGGAAGGATATTGAAAAATAATCCAGGAATAGTCTTGGGCCGATATCTCGACTATTTTTGCATATTTTTGAGCGTTGCTTTGATTCTTTTTTATCTCTTGTCCAAATCCGCCTGTAGGGGGATATGCCCGACACATGGCTGGAGCAAGGAGGTGGTGGCGCGCCCGCTAGGCCATCCGCCACCTGGAGGAGAAGGACCTGATCCAGGTGCCCTGCCCTCCTCCTCCGTTCTACCTTCCTCCTCCTCTGTTCATCCTTCCTCCCTCCCCCTCCTGCCTGCGCGAGGGGGAACGAGGAGGGGGGGGGAGGGGGGGGGGAGGGGGGAGGAGGAGGAGGAGGAGGAGGAGGAAGAGGAGGAAGAGGAGGAGGAGGGACAGGTAAAATGGAGGAGGATGAGGAACAGGAGGAGGAGCGGAAGGAGGAGGACCAGAGTAAGCCCGAGTTGTGTTGCTCCGCGTCCTTCAACACGCTCAGAAGAAACGCTCGAGAGACATCCGAAGCAACTCCGACCTCCAAGAGGCCTCTGGCCTTTCTGTTTGCCTCCTCCTCCTCCTCCTCCTCCTCCTCCTCCCTCTCATCCGCCTAGTCCTCATCCTCCCTTCTCCCTCCTCCTCCCTCCCTCTCCCCCCCTCCTCCCTCCTCCTCCTCCTCCTCCTCCTCCTCCTCCTCCTCCTCCTCCTCCTCCTCCTCCTCCTCCTCCTCCACCTCCGATCCCTCCTCCATCCTCCCCCTCTTGGGGCGCGGCGGCTTCCCCAGCCCTCCATTCCACTCTCAGACCTGTTTTCCCGTCCAGCTTGCGGGCTCATGGGGGGCGTGTCTCGGGGGAGTCTCGTGGGGCTTCTTGGGGGTCTCCTGGGGGCCTATTGGGGGTCTCTTGGGGCCTCTCGGGGGCGTCTTAGGACCTCTTGGGGGCTTCTGGGCGCATCATGGGGCTCTCTTGGGGCCGTTTTAGGGCACCCTTAGGAGCCTGGGGGGCTAGATTGGGGCCATCTCGGAGGAGGTCGATCAAATAAGGGGGGTCTCAATAAGCCTCCCCCAGGAGGTCAGACTGGGCCCAATACCTTAGTAACATCAGTGATGTTTGCCTTCTCGCCGAGGCTCTCGTGGACGCTCTAACGAGCCGCGCCCCCGCCTTCCACTCCAGGTCCAGGGAGGGGGTAGGGGGAGGGGTCAAGCTACCCACCCGCCCGCAAGCCGTCTAGCTCATCCCACCCGCCCTCTCAGCACATAGGTAGCACCCGAGCCTGAGCATGTTCAGCGGTCGTCTTTGGATGGACAGCTGCTGGGAACCAACGCCGAGCCCATGTGCGCGACGCTTGGGCGAGGTGCGCCACGCGTGCCAGGGGCGCCACGCGCGCCAGGCACCCCTGGGGCCCGAACGTGCCAGGCACGCCTGGTGCGCCAGATGCGCCACGTGCTCCGAGTGCGCCAGGTGTGCCGCACACTCCAGCCGCGCCAGGTGCGCCATGTTCGGGGCATGTGCAGAATGCGTCAGGTGCGCCTGCGCACGTGACAGCACACATCGGGAAACATGTCGCCCCCCGCCATCGTTGTCGAAAAGCAATGCCCATCGTTGTGTCTGGTGGGCCTGCGCACATGTGGCCACGCGCCACCACCCCCGCGGTCCCTGTCAACAACAGTTTGACAGTGATCGCGGGATGGCCGTGCATGATCCAGATTTAGCCGCGGGGTGCATGTTGTATGGTTTGGTTTATCAGGGATGACAGCCCTGCGCACGGCAGGGAATATGCTGGCACCCCGCCGTCCCAGTCAAACAACTCAAACACAACAGCACGAACATGACTCAAGACTTTGCCCCAGAGTGTACTTTGCATGGTTTGTTTGACATCGGGAACAGTGTCAATCCCCTCCCAGAAGGGAAAGAAAAGGGTTTTAGAAGAGCACCCGCTCTAAACCACTCACGCCCTACAGGGCTGGTGGCATTCAGTAAATCGAGTGTCCTGGGCGAGAGCCCCATTTAGAAATGGAGCTGCCCTGCATGATTGCATATGCTGCGCATTCTTGAACTTGCGGTCGTACCTTCGAGGATGTCCAGTGCGAGATCCCCGTGTTGAAAAAAAGTGCCGTGCTCGCTCCGTGCGCCTGCTGGACGTTTTTTAAGTCGAGCGTGTGCGGCGCAACGCAGCGAGACTCCATCCTGTGCACCTGCCGCCTCCGGCCGTGCAAGCGCTGGAACGTTGTCACAATGGGGGGGGGGGCTCGGCGCTGGGTCGGGGTCTGCGGGTGCTCCCGAACGTTGGCCCTCGGCGCAGGCCGCTGTGCCACTGGGGGAGGCGGCATGGCACTCTTCATCCTCGGACTGTGGCCCATCGTCTCCGAAGCCTCGTGAGCCCCCACTGGCCAACAAAAAAAAATGGGCGGGGCTGGGCGCCACAGCGCGAGCCCTGCTTTTTGAGGACCACTCGCCCTCCATCGGTGCGAGTGCTGGGCGTCTCGTCTGTGCGTGTGCGCGGCGCCGGGCCGAGAGCCCCCCAGATTTGAGCACGACCCGCCCGCCGTCTGGGCGCCTGTCGAGAGCCACGTGCTTCAGCACCGTGAGCGGTGAGGTCGTCTCGGGCGAAGCGTCCCCCTCGCTCTGGCAGCACGCGTGGTGGTGCGACGGGGAGCGGCTATGTTTGAGGAAGAGGGGGTGGAGGAGAGTGAGGAGGCTGCAGGCGGAGGAGCAGAATCTCTCTCTCTGCCTCTTGTCTCATCGATTCTGCCGTTCCTGGTGCCGTGCAGCAGCGTTCAGTGAACGACCACTGGCGCCTCGAGCCTTGGATCCCGCAGCTGCTTTGGGAATAGAGGAGGAGGAGGCGGAGGAGGAGGCGGAGGCGGAGGAGGAGGAGGAGGGAGGAGGAGGGAGGGAGGATGGAGGAGGAGGAGGGATGGAGGGGGAGGGAGGGAGGGAGGGAGGGAGGGAGGGAGGGAGGGAGGAGGAGGAGGGAGGAGGAGGAGGAGGAGGAGGAGAGGGAGGAGGAGGAGGAGGAGGAGGAGGAGAAGTAACATGAGGAGGAGGAGAAGGAGGAAGGGAACGAGGATCCCAGAGGACCTCCTGGCCGTCCGCCCCCTGCCCCTTCTCCCCCGCGGACCACATCGGGATGGTAGGTTTTGCTTCCGCCCCAGGTCCTGATCCCAGGAGGTCCCTGTGGGCTTCCTGAGGCCTCCAGAGGCCCCCCCAAACCCAAACATGTGCAAGCAGGTCCCGAACAGTTTTAGACAATCCTGCCTCTTCGGCATTTGAGGGTGGAAGGCAGCACTTAGCAACAGGACACCCCATGCCCTAGCCCCCCTCCCTCGGACCGCCTTGGGACCCCCGAAGCCGGTCAGAGAGGTTGTGGGCGAGAGGAGCTCCAGCATGCTGATCTACACGCGCAAGATCGGCGCAGGCGATTGACACGCTCCTCGGGGGTGCACAGCCGACGCCTTGAACACGAAAGTTACCTGGACATCCTCCCTTGTCCTTCTCCCACCTTCCCCCTCCTCCGCCACTTTTCCTTACAGGTGCCCCCTCCGTGCCGCACCAGCAAGCATGTCTACAGGGAGGGCTGGGCGCTTCTCCCCATAATTCTCACCAATTACGACTCCGGAGCTTGAAACTCCCAGCAGTTACACGGACACTGCTCTTTTTCAAAATGCGGCTCTCGCCTTAGCGTTGCGCACACTCGTCGCACAACACTTTGCAACAGTGTATTGGATGGGAGGCTGGCCGTTTTCAATACGCGGCTCTCGCCGCAGCTCCGCTCACATTCGCTTTCAAGGTGTACAACAGTTTCAAGGATGGAGGGCGGGTCGTTTTCCAAATGTAGCTCTCGACGAAGCGTCGCATACACTGCTTGCACAACAACTGCATCATATTCAGTGATGGAGGGCGGTCCGTTTTCAAAGGCCGATTATCGCCATAGCGCCGCGCAATGTCGTTACACATGTCTGCAACAGTGTCAAGGATGGAAGGCAGGCCGTTTTCAAAATCTGGCTCTCGCTTTGGCGCCGCGCACTTTCGTCATATATGTTTGCAACAGTTTCCAGGATGGACGGCGGCATCTTTTCAGCATGTGGCTTTCGCCTCAGCGCCGCGCGCATTCGTCCGACAAGCTTGCATCATTTCAAAGAACGGACGGCGGGACGCTTTCAGTATGCGGCTCGTGCGTTGCCGTGCGATTTCAAGCGTTACGAGGATGAAGGGCGGGCCGTTTTCGCAATGCGGCTGTCGCGTGAACGGCGCACATATTCGTTTCAAGAGCTTGCAACAGTTATGCGACACGGATTGGGGGTGGCTCCTTTTCAAGACGGCGTTCTCGCTTGAGACGAAGCTTGAACACGTGTACCAGCTGCACGGATGGAGAGTGGTTCTTTTGCCAGACGAGGCTATCGCTTGAGATTTGAAGCTCTCGTTGGACATTTTGTCAGCTGTTTCGGCAATATGTGTTGCATGACTTCTGATTCGTCAGGTGGATGCAAGGTTGTTCCTGTTCAAACCTGTCGCTGTCGCCCGAAAGGCAGGCCCATTCTGTCACAGGGTGCTCGTCTTTCAGTGGGGCGTTTCTGGTAGTGGGAAGGCGTGCTTGCGGGGACTTGCCACGAGGGGATTTTGGGACGGGAGCGTGCATTGCAGCATCGCCGGAGCATCCTAATCCTAAGTTTGCCCTGGTCTCCTTTCCTCCTCCCTCCTCCTCCTCCTCTTCCTCCTCCTCTTCCTCTTCCTCTTCCTCTTCCTCCTTCTATCTTTTCTTTCATAAACAGCTACCCCCTGCAGCACCACCAGACGTGTCCATAGGCTGGGCCGGGAATGTCGTTTGAGATCCTTATAGCTTACTTATTATCCGGAAGCTGAAACTTGAACTGTTCCAAGGATGGACGGCGGGTCGTTTTTAAAGGGTGGTTCTCGCCGTAGCGCCGCGCGCGTTCTTCTTAGAAGTGTCCAACAGCTGTAATACTGGATGGAGTTAGTTTGGTATCGTTTCCCCAAAAATCTGGCTCTCGCCTAAGCGACGCGCACATTCACCGCACAAGTCTTCAACTGGTTCAACGATGGAGGGCGGGCCTTTTTCAAAGGTCGGCTCTCGCCTTAGCGCCGCGCGCTTTCGTCATAGCCTTGTACAGCCTCTTGAGCCTGCGCAGACAAAGCCCCACGATCCCACCGACCCAGTTCAGAAGCCAGGCGAAGGCTGGCAAACCCGTGGCTGCTAAAACGGAGCTCCGGGAATTTGTTTTTTCTTCTGGGAAGCAGCCCGTTTACTATTCAATCGCTTCGCTCGCTCCGCCGGCCCGTCTTGCATCATTGGTGCTATATGTTTGTGTGTTCGTGGCGAGCGAATAGGTGAATGAGGAGGACGAGGAGGAAGAGGGGGGGATGAGGATGAGGAGGAGGTCCCTGGAGAGCTTTTTGTATCAAGTTGGGGCGAAGCTGGTCATGGACAAGGGGGGTCGCTTAGGGTCTTCTGGGAGGCCTCTCGGGGGCCTCTTGGCGGTGGGCTTTCGTTCGAGGAGTAAGGGTCGTTGACGCAGAGGGGGGAGAAGGAGGAGAGGGAAGAAAGAAGGAAGGGTTGGTGAAACGATAAGAGGCTTCTTTTTGGGCCTCTTGGCGGTCTGTCTGACACCTCCTGGGGCGGTGCGGGGGCCACTTGGGGGCCTCTTGGGAGTCTCTTTGGGCCTCTCGGGGGCCTCTTGGGGGCTTTTTGGGGGCCTCTTGGAGCCTCCAGGGGACCTCGCTGCGCCTGAAGCTCAAAATGTCCGTTGACGTCCCTCGTCTGGGCCCGCTCTTGGAGCCGTCTTGGGCGCCTCTTCGGCCATCTTGGAGGCCTCTGGGGCTGTCTTGGGGCCCTCTGGGGCCGTTGTGGGCGCTCTTGGAGGCCTCTTGGATCGTGTTGGGGCGATCCTGGAAGCGTCTTGGGCCGTCTTGGAGCGCCGGTAAGCCGCCAAGGCGAGAACGCAACCTTCAAACATTGAAGCAAAATCGCTAATTTCTGCCTCTGTGGAGCCTCTTGGGAGGTCTCTTGGGGCCTCTTGGGGGTCTCTTGGGGCCTCTCGGGGGCCTCATGAGGGCTTTTTGGAAACCTCTTGGGGCCTCCAGGGAGCCTCTCTGCGCCTAGAGCTCGAAATGTCCGCTCGGGTCCCTCGTCTGGGTCCGCTCTTGGAGCCGTCTTGGGAGCCTCTTCGGCCATCTTGGAGGCCTCTGGGGCTGTCTTGGGACCCTCTGGGACAGTTGTGGGCGCCCTTGGAGGCCTCTTGGGCCTTGTTGGGGCGATCCTGGAAGCTTCTTGGGCCGTCTTGGAGCGCCGGGAAGCTTCCAGGGCGAGACCGCCCAAACCCTCAGCAAATTCTTGGAAATCAATATTTGCTGCCTCTGTGGAGCCTCTTGGGAGGCCTCTGCCATTCCGACACCCTCTCCTGTGTGCCTTCGATGAGCGCCAGTCCCGTGTGAATACCTGGCGGTCCCGTCTTGTGCCCCTCGCCCTTCTCCCTGACCTGGTTTCTATAGCTCTGCCCCGCTGCCGGCGACTTCCGAAACGCGAGATTGCGGACTGGTATGAGGTAGAAGTCCGGTGTCCTGTGGTTCATGCCTCTGATCTCTGCCGCTGCACGAAGGGCCAATCTTTGAAGCCCGTTGATGCACCCTCTTAGGCCAAACTCCTTGTAGTCGCCCCCTGCGTATGACTGGCGGGTGGGTGGTCTGCGCCCTCCCCTTGCGCCTCTTCCGCTCCCCCCCGTCGCCGTAGCCGCTGTCGAAGGCGGGGTGCCCGCTGCTTTGGCGCTGGCCCCTTCTGCGTACCACTGGTCCTTTCCTTTTCCCTTGCCGCCCTCGTGGTGCTTCGGCTCTCCTTCCATCTCCGCGCTTGCTCCTCGTTTGGCCAGCGGCAGTCTCCGCGGTACCATCGCCATCTTCCACGCAGTACGGTCCAGGATGGTGGCGGCGAACATGCATATGAAAACGCTCCAAAGGTTGAGCCTGAACACCACAGAGGATGCAGGTGAGGACAGGGGGCTCACGCAAGGGGTGATTCCAGCATATTCTGTTTTTGTGTAGCATATCCCGTGACTCTCCGTCGCTCTCATGACATGGTCCGTCATGTTTTTTTTGTTGTCGCGAGCGAGCTCATGCACCAATGACATTTGTTCGTTACCACCAGGCTGGAGATCAGAGGAAGACAGTTGTGCACCACTCTACTGTGCCCTGCCAGCGCCGCCGCCGTAGTGAATTGTGCTTCGCGCACCTGTCCCTCTCCCAATTTCCCGATCGCACCAAAACTGAGCCACCACCTCTACACCCACCGTAATCTCAGGTAGCGCTGTGTCCCATGCTTCCCCAGCTTGGCGTAAGATACTGGGGTCCGACCCCACCCGCGCTTCCCAATTCCTCTTGCCTCTCTTGAACATTGAGATATCTGACTCCTTCTGCGGGCACCAGCTCCACGCATCCTCGCTGGCCTCCGCCAGCGCCTGAAAGCCCCTGGCCAGCTGCTTGGCCCAATGTGTAGAAACTTAGTGTACCCATCCATTTTCCATTCTCTTGACCTGGCAGAGACTGTCCAACTTCGACGTTCCAAAAACCGCTGCCGGCACACTGCCAAAATCCCCTGGGTATTTCGCCCATTGCCTGTACCACCGTAGCCTGCGTATCCCTGGGGCCGTGAAGCAGCGCGGTATCCTCCATTTCCTGAACACCTCCCTGTTGGCGTAGCACCTGGTTGCACCGTCTGCCTCCGCCCGGCTCATTTTGCCTCCTGCCATCCTTCCCAAAAGGAGTGCCATCGTATTGTCTAGTGCCCTCAGGTGACGTTCTTCCAGTACAAGTGCCGTCAATCTGCTGAGGCCCGCCCCAACAACAAACGCCTGGAACATCTCCTTCTTGATTTGTCTGTAGTCTCTGAAGTCCAGAAGCACCCGCACTGCCTGTAGGCAAGCTGCATGGCCTCGAACCTCCTCCTTATTTCTCCTGCGTACACTTGATCTCCTGGTAGGTACGGCCCCAATACTCTATCTCCCTCATCGGCGTGCCCTTGATATTCTTTTCTCTCTGCAGCTGTCTTGTGGTCCCATCTCGCCCTGGTCCTCGCAGAGCCACCAGGTGGTTGTCTTGGCTGGATTCAGGCTCCATCCACCTTTCTCCAGCTTGCTCTCCAAGCGCTGCGTGGTGGCGTTGATCTGCTCTGCAAGTATTATCGCGTGGTTTCCTGGGCGAACCGAGATCACCTCGATTCCGCTTAGAGCCGATTGGGGCTGGGAGCCTGCGCGAACCGAGATAACTTCGCTTTCGCCAAGCTCAACCTGGTGTTCCGAGATTACCTCGCTAACTCCGGATGCCAGAGGGGTCGGGCCCGACGAGACCACCGTCTGGGTCTTGGTGATGGCGTCCATGAACGTGTTGAGCGAGAGGTCGTGTTCCTGCTCGTTGAC